TATCTTTAGTGTCACTTTCCATGAAAAGCAACTTTCCATGTCATGAAGCATTTGGCTATACCAGATTAAGCCAACCCTATACTATAGGAGTTGGCTGCGAGTTATGTTCATCCTCGCGTTTAGTTTAGATTGGACGTACTAACAAGACAGTTCCAGTATTATATTTAATAGAGGAGATGATATTGATCTTTTTTTTCTTTAATTAAATATATTATATTTAAATTTTAAATATAAAATTTTATTAAATATTTAGAAAGGAGTACTTTGTCTCCATTATATACCTATTCTATACATATTTGAATTAATTGAATCAATAAACTTTAAATACTGAACGATTAAAAACTAAAACAAAACGGTTCTAATATTAAGAAATGCCATTACCACTTCCTCGATTTCATTAATTTGATATTTTTTTTAGATTTTTTCCATGTCATTTAGATGACATTTTTGGAAAAACAAAATAGTACATAATTATTTTATTGCAACTTCACCTTTATCTAGATATTTATACTAAAATTTATTTCAATTAAATAAACCATTAATTAAAGGGTAATTTAGTCAATTATCTTATTTTTTTATATTAAGTGACTAAATCATTTTTTTAATTCATGTGAAAAATAAAAAATTATTAAATTTAATAGAATGAAGGGAGCAAAATTATATTTTCTATTTTTAATTTTATTTACACGTTGAGTGAAATTGAAACTAAGTCCAAGGTTTTGAAGGTGAAATCAAATCTAATCCATCAATTTCATTCAATTTTCTTTTAAATTCTAGAAAATAATTTTCTAGTTTTCTTAGAAAAATACATATGAATGAAACATATTTATATAAATATATAAATATACATGAAGTACGAACATAAAAAATTAACTACATCTTTTTTTTAATAATCTTTCATGAGGCGTGATCACTATTCTGGTTCTAAAACCAATAATTCCGATTCTAAATAATGTGAAATTGAAATCAAACTGGAAATTGAGGGTTCCGGTTCTAATTTAAAATCGGCTAATTACTGTTTCATTACGGTTCGCATAATTTTAAAATAAAAAAATTAGAAAATATTTTTTGTTCAAAATTTAAAATATAAATATTTATGAAATAGTTTTTGAAAATCACTTTAAGAAAAAATAAAAAAAAATGCTTGAATTTAATTTTTTTTTTTCAAAAATTAAGTTGCCTATGTATCCTCATGATCTTGGGGTTTAGAGGAATCAAAGGTCATGTATTTCAATTTACCTTGTTCCAATTTTATATCTTTTACCTCACTTAGTCGATTGCCTGCATCGGGGATGTTCAATTAAGTACCCATAAAAAATAATAAGGTATTTATAGTAAATCAAAAAATCTAACTTTCACAAATACCCTTAAAATTATCCATTATATAGCCGTTTATAGTTGTTATGAGGGTTAATTTAAATATTTTGATTAAAAATTTTCAAAAAAAAAAGTGTCAGAATCGATTGGAACCATTGGTTGTCAGAACCTTTAATTCCAGCTGGTTCTTGAAACTGCTGATTCACGATTCTAAAAAACTTCAAACTAGAACCGAATCGCAACCCTCCGATTATAGTTCCAATCTGACCAATTCTGATTTCGATTCCAACCGTTCCGAACTGATAGTTCCAGTTCCAAAAACCGGTTTTTGGCCACTCTTCCATCATGTTGTTAGAGCATAAAAATCAATAACTGAAAGGAAAGCACGTACAAAAACATTCCCAACCTTTTCAACGCAAATCGACTTTCATATCTTAAAACATTCCCAACCTTTTTTTTTTTGAAAGATAACATGCCAAATTTTTTAGATACACTATATGTAGCATTATATTTAAAATATAAAATTTGAACTTTAAGACATTAGAGTGCGAGAGAACATAATACTCTATAAATGAATAACTATTTAATCTCATCAAAGGAGTAACAAAAATTACAAAAAAAAAAAAATAATAAAAAATAAAAACAAATCTAAGCTAGGAAAGAACAAAATTTAGAACAACACGAAGAGAGAAACGAGAGAAAGAGAGATGCATTTTTTTTTTTTAAATCTTTATTGATAAAGAAATGAAAATGAAATGCAAATAAATTTCCATATCTAAAAGTTAGAATTATACAGGGGAAAAAAAGAATTGGAAAACTTTTTTGACTTGGGCCCATCTAAGGGGAGAGATTGGTTGATTAGTTTAAGCCCATATGTTGCAAATTATGGGCTTTTCACAAAAAAAAAAAAATCATAGGAAGACTTTCGTGGTCACGTCTTGGATACTTGTGCCCATTCATTTTTTTTCTATTGTGCTTCATAAAAAAATTTCTTTTTTGGTTATCAATTTTGAAAATTTTCTGAAATTTTTTATATGATTGCTTTCTTGATCTGTTTTTTTCTTTTAATCTTATTTCTCTTTTTAATTTCTTGTTTTTGAATTTTATTATATATATTTTTTGGTCGCACTAATTTTTTATTTTCTGTATTTGTTATTACTTCGTTAATAATTAAATGGAAAGTTGTCAAGTCACGATATATTCTCATTTCTCATCAACAAACTTGAATTTTTTTATTGTAATTTAATTGTGTTTTTAATATTTATATCTAATTTAATAATTATATCTAATTTAAGATTGTTCATTTCTTGGATAATCCTCCGGTAAACAAGACTCGAATATCAAATATTGGTTTCAATACCACTTATCATTACTTTATCACCAAATAAATCTGCAATTAAAATAATTCTCAAAAAAATATGCAATTAAAATAGAATTATTAATTATAATATTAAATCCATCTCTTTAAATAAATTAAATATCATATATTTATTCGGTGAATTTAAAATTTAAAAGTTTTTTTAAATTTGTTAAATTTAATTAAATAACAATAATAATTAATTAAAATATAAATTTATAATAATATTGTATATTTTAAAATTTACGTGAATTTTATGTATTCATAGAATGAAATCGAATTTAGAACTAAAATTTTAAAAAGAATATATAATTAAAGAACTTAAAATTAAAATTAATGATATAAGTGGCAAAAAAAATTTATAAAATTGATTTACTAACTAAAATCTATGTAAAAACTAACTAAATTGATTTACTAACTAAAATTATGTAAAACAATAAACTTGCAAACAAAAAAATACAGCCAATGTATATTGAAATCAGGTTTCACGACTTGATTAACAAGAATCTTACCACTAAGCTACCATGTTCCCAGTCCCCTGTATCATTGGACTTAAAATTACAAATTATAAATGTGATAAGTATTATGGATTAGAGGTAGTAAAATTTAACTATGGCACGTATTATTTATCTGCAGTGTATTTACTGAGGATGATTTTGCCTCCTTCAATATGATATTATTATATGATGTTACTGATGCTATGGTTATGATTATAATTATGAAGATAAAATTATTAATGCTATTAACTGTACATGTTGATGTGAGCTTGATGTGCCCCTTGATTATTCTTTTAACCTAATGCATAAATTTGATCTTGTAAATATGTCTCCCTGAGAACTTTGTGAAGAATTCATCATGATCCGGTACTTTTATATTTCAGGAATAATTATGTCACTCGTCAAAATAAAATATAAAAATATAAGATCATAATTGAATTCCTACAAAGTTAAAGTTATTTCATTTTGGCGAAGAGTATAGTTATGTTAAAGTATATAGTTATGATTAATCCTGTAAAGTTTAGAGGCTTATTGTTCATGCATTAAGGCATATTGTTTTGGATTAATATCATGATGTTGGGCTTGAATTATGCATTATACGGTTTTTGTCAAATTAGATATAAGATTTATTATGGGTCTTAAAAGCTTTATATTTATTCAGTTTTTAATAGTTTGATTCCCATATCAAGACATAATCTAATTATAAGTATATATATGATTTAACAATAGATTCATATTGAAATCCCTTTCTATACAAAAAAAAAAAAAAAAGAATTCCTACAAAGTTAAAGTTATTTCAATTTTGGCGAAGAAGTAATAGTTATGTTAATAGTATAATAGTTATGATTAATCCCTGTAAGTTTAGAGGCTTATTGTTCATGGCATTAAAGGCATATTGGTTTTGGATTAATATCATGATGTTGGGGCTTGACATTATGATTATACGGTTTTTTGTCAAATTAGATATAAGATTTATTATGGGATCTTAAGCTTTATATTTATTCAGTTTTTAAATCAGTTTGAATTCCCATAGTCAAATGACATAATCTAATTATAAGTATAAGTATACGTGATGTTAAACATAAGACTTTCTTATTGAAATACCCTTTCTAATACAAAAAAAAAAAAAAAGTCCAGTTCTCACCGTTGGTAAAAAAGGTTTGTGAAAACACAAATGAAAAGGGCCTAGAAAAAAAAAAAAAAAAAAAAGTCAGTCTCACCGTTGTAAAAGGTTGTGAAAAAACAAAATGAAGGCCTAGAAGTTTAAAAATTAATAAAAGCTTCGTAACAAATTCTCCTATCGTAGTTGACTAGGTTAATAACTAATTAAAAATAATAATAATATTAGAAATAATTAAATAGAATTTTATAAATTGACTAACATTTTTTAAGAGTTTCATAGATGATTAAAAAAATAGGAAAAATGTACAAGATTCAGAATCTTTTGAATCATTAATAAAAGAAAAGAAAAGAAAAGAAATAATTGGACTCAATATTTCGAGACCAACCCAAACTATTGAGTTTTTAATAGCGGCTGTGAAAGAGGCCCTCTCAGATGAAGCCCATAATCATAACGGAATGAGAACTTGGATTGGGCCTTCCCTGTTCATTTCTTTTTTTTTTTTTTTGGACAAATTATATTCTTATGATGAATATTAAATCAATATTTTATTTTTTAAAATTCTCACACAATAAAAATTTGAAGTACATAATTTACCATTTTATTTTTCCTTCAATTGTAGTCGAGTTTTATAAATTTTAACTTCATCTTATGAAATAAGTTAAAATTGAAAAAACTAGGTAAAATAAAAATCACTTGCACATTGCAATACAGAGTAAAAGAGGTAGAATTTTATTTACTATAATATGAAAAGAAATATGTTAGACAACATTAATCAGTATAAGAAAATTCAAACGTAGGAATTTCTACATATATATGTTTTTGTGTGTGTTATATTCTTGTCAAAAATAAATAACTTATTATTAGTGTGTAGGAATTGGTTTATTTCCAAGACCCATCATCACATGGGGAGCAACCTTCTTGTGCAATATCAGTAATTTGGACACCTGAGTCATATACAGTCCCAACCTTCCAATCTGCAGGAAGAACATTTTGTGCCCAAATCCATTTCCCATCATATCCCGCCGTTACCACAAATCGGAACTGCAATGCCCCCGCCGGAACCCTACTCGTGTCCCACACCGCCCCGTAATTTCGGCTCATGTAACCCCAATTTGATGAACCCACCTGTAATCATTTATCCATGTCAAAACTTAAAAGTCGAAAAAAAAAACAAACTTCGACTTTAGAGATGTTAATTTATGGTTTTGGCTTACCTTAGCAACATCAATTGCTACTACTTCTGTCTGTCCACCTTGATATAATAATTTGATGGCCAAATAATTTGGGTATTGACTTGATTCTTCTACTCGCACAGCTAAATTTTTGTTTTTAAATTCACAAGGCACCCTGTTCCGTCCATAAAAATAAATAAATATTAAAAATAAAATTGCAAATAATTTACCATTTTGTTTAAACTATTCAGTTAATTAATAATTTAATAATTGAATATCTGTCTCGAAAATAAATCATAGCATATAAAATATCTTTTCTTTGTAAATAGATATCTGATAGACAATAATTTAACATATTTGACCGTTACTAGCAATTAATTTGTTTAGTTCTTCAGTATAAGAGATTCTGCAAAACATTTCTGAAAAGCGTTGGCCCACTTAACAATGGTTTCTTTATTTAATACCTTTTGATTAATTATTGAACTGGTGATGTTTTTTGTTTTTAAAAAGTGTTAAACAAGTAGAATGGACATAAATTTGAATTAATACCTTTTGTATTCGATGTCAACAATCCCATGTTTCAAGAGATCTTTGCCCATACCATTGTTGGCCATTGCCATGAAAGCTCTGCCACTAAGAACAAAATCTGTGTTGTTGTTTTGATTCAGATCAGTCACCATCACTGTTGTGCCTTTGCTGCTACAAAGGCTACTGTCTTTGCATCTTAACTGCCAAAATCCCCCAAAAGAAAAAAATCAATCAAATATGTAGGTAGAAAAACAAAAAAGAAAAAACAGAACAAGGATTAAAGGCCCTTTTGGTATAATTATTTTTTATTCTTATGACTCGATTGTTAAGAGAAACAAAAAGGAGAAGTAAAACAAGCCTTAGGATGTTGTTCAAACCTTAAAACAAGCACCGCAACCAGCTCCATCTTTATACAGAGTAGGAACAGCAGCTGCAAGGTGTCCACCATTAAACCCTATTGCCAATGAACCATACCCACAAGCTCCAGCTGCACCAAATCAACAAAACAGAACTTACCCATTAAAAACCTCATCAAAACGTCATCTGGGTATGACCCAATTTGTTATTTCAATCAAATAGATTGACCAAAAAATCAAAAAAAAAAAAAAAAAAACGTCAATCTGGGTTATCGACCCAATTTGTTATTTTAATTTCAATCAAAATAGATTGGACCAAAAAAAATCAAAAGAAAAAAAAAAAAAAAATCCCCCCCCCCCCCCTTACAATAAGTTGCTGAGGATTTTAGAGAAATATTGCAAAAAAAAAAAAAAAAAAAAAAATCTTACAATAAAGTGCTGAGGATTTAGAGAAATATGCAGCCTTGGATTGGTGCACGCAGCGATCACAAGCAGTAGTAGATGAGATAAGGAAGAAAAAAATGCAAAGAAACACAAACATTTTGGTACTGAAAATATGGTGGTGTAACAGAGAGAGAGAGAGAGAGAGAGAGAGTTGATCAATTACAAGTGATGTATTTTGGTCTGGACCTGATATATATACACACAGACGAAGTACAGTGCCTGAGAATTTGGACTACAGGTCAGCATTTCCAATTTGAAATATATATGTAAAGTTTGAGGTCGGGATGCCCGAAATTGAGATATTCAATTTATTAATTTTTTTAAAAATTTAGTATTAGTTTGATTGCAGAAACGCGGTTGAGACAGAGATGCATAAAAGAAAAAAGATGGGGTCAAGCACCGACTGTTTGCCTATGCAATTACAGCTGTGTGGTGACAACATTAGACTTAAGCATTTATGTGTTTTTGTGTCTCTATGGGTTTGATTTGTTAGTGAGGTTAGGACTGGACACAGACTCTTTGCACTTTTAGGTTTTTGGACTGGACAAGTTTCTTCCTTCTTTCTATTTTCCAATGTGCTCACATTTTTTCACACTTGTAAATCCATAAGTCTGTCTAAACCCATTGTTTCTTTTAATTCCAATCAATAATTCTTAAAAGAAGGAAGAATAGTATTGTTATGTTATTAGTAATTTGATTTCAATTCAGTTTTTTATTTTTCATTAACGAGTTATCTGGGTATTTGTCTAATTTAATTTTTAAATCTGAAGCCATACTTTAAAAAACCATGTATAATCTAAGAAAAATTTGAACATAAGTTGTATCCCAATTAAAGGAATAGGCTCAATTGGTCTAGACTGGGCATTTAGAGATTAAGTGTATAAAATTGACATTTTAACAAGAATGGACTTTTGTGTGAGTTTGAGCCAAAAAGGCTTACGTGTATGATAGATAGTTTAGTGGAACAAAAAGGGACAAAAAGAAAAAAACATTTTAGATATTAATAATTAAAAATTTGGTGAAATTAATCATTGCTTGTAAATGGGTAAGAAGATAAGAACAAATGCTATCCAAGTCCCATCCAGCAAAGCAAGAATATTGCTTATGAATCTATTTTTGCTTAGTAATAATATCCATTTCATGATCACAAAATCAAAGCATTAATGTAATTTTCACTGGCAATTGTCATTTGATGTTAATGCATATTACTAAATCTTCCTTGCTAAATCAACCATTCCTATGTTGTATAAAAACCCAAAGGGTAAAAAGAAGTTGGTTTTTCTTTTGCTTGGCTTGAAAGCAAAGGGCAATGCTTGAGTATTTGAGAATAAAAAGGCTAATTGAGTTATCTGAATTCTCAAGTATATGCTCTTTCCAGTTGCTATTTACAGATTATTTCTTGACTGTTGTTCGTTGTCCAAAGAGACAATTCTTATCAAGGAAAATGTGGAGTTGGCATCATCATTTTTGTCCATTGGACACCACTTTCCTCATCATTTTCAAGTTATTGGATCCAGCTTACAACTATTAACTTTCACAAATAATGATTTCACTTCCTTTCCAATTTCATAATTTTAAACTTAAATTTATTTTCTAATTGTTTATATACTTATTTTTCCCTCTGTTTCGTTAATTTTTACTGTATTTTGACTTTTTTTTTTTTTTTATATATTCTATTTAGACGGCAGGTTTAAACTATTAAAATAACATTGATAATTTTATTTCAATTTTATACTTATGTACATATTTATACTAAACTTTGTTTCCGTCAAATAAACATTAATTAAAGAGTAATGACGAATTATTAGGTTTTCTTCTGGGATTTTTCCCATTTAAAAAAATATATGTCTTTTAAATAAACTTTGATATAAAAGTTAAATTACCAAAAAAAAAAATATTAGTCCGTTGTTTTCCTTTGGCAGACGAGTTCCTTTAATTATTGTCAGAGCCAAACGGTAAATTTGCAAGTGGTCATTGAAAACAATTAACGCTAACAGTCTCTGTGCCTGTAATGCAGCATTGTTCAGAAGAAACTATTTTCTTTTTTCTTTTCTGTAGATAATAAATTGGAGCACCTTGAATTGAATACTTGTCGAGGATCGTTGGTCCATGTGGAGGAAGATCATATATTATATTATATACATATTTAATTTTAAAGAAATTGTAAGTAGAAGGTGTTTGTTGCCTGTTGGACCGGCCATCATCATGATTGTAATTGTTGACAGACCATAACTAGTTCGTGCTAAATAATGGACATGCATCTTCCACTGTGATCATGTAGCAGATTTTGTAAGTGGAAGAGACAAAATTCGTTTCAACAAGCTCCATTAAAAAATTATTAAATTATGCCTTGTTTGTTTGGAAAAAAAAATCTTAAAATATATTTTTTAGAGTGTAATATTGAAAATTAATTAAAATTAATTTTTAATTTTTTAAACTTTATAAAAATATTTTTTATAAAATTTCAAATTTTAAGAATTTATTATTAAAAATGAAAAAAAATATTATGATAAGTATCAGTAATTAGTGATGGTGAATGTTAGACATGATTGATATGAAAACCACCTATTTTACTTTTAGAACCATCGGTTCAATTTCAATAAAGGATTAAACTAAAATCAAATTACTCGTAATTAGAATCAATTTTTACATAGTGCTTAAACGTATTTACAAACATGTGCATTTAGGATTGTATGTCACACGAAAATTGACAAGAGAAATTTAGGGTAAAATGAAAATGAAAATTGATAGAGCTTAAATACTTAAATGATTTATTAACCTTCAAATAACAATTTTTCTTAACCCTAGACAAAGTAAGATTGATCAACTCCAATTTACATTTCTTTTTATAACATTCCTTCACCTCCACAGCTTTCGCTCTTAAACTTCCCATGCAATATGCAATGCCTTAGACTTTCATATCATATTTAAAAGACTTGGACCGTATTCCGCAGTAACTTTCAAATAGTTATTAACATTTTATTTTTTCTATATATTCAGTAACATAGCATTTGAACTATCTTTTAGAAATTAAGACAAGTTTCTAACATTTAGCTTTTAGCCTTTTATGAAAAAGTTACACAAACAGGTGCTAACTATTCAAACTGCTAAAAACTACTAAAATAACTAAAAATTATAAAAATAGTTAATTTTGCCAAACAAAACCTTGATATATGTTAGGCAAAAGTTAAAAATAATACTAAAATATGTTAGGCAAAGATTAAAAATAATACCAGCCTAATCTATCTTTGTTAAATTCAACAAAATGGAAGTTATAGAGGTAAAATGAATTTTCTTTTATATCAGACATGAAAAATATAAAAATCCAGACAATACTCGGTAAAATTCATCTTTATTAAACAAAGCCTTAATGCCACACTAATAGAGATCAATGGGACAAAAGCACTTGATAATAAAATAAAATAAACAAAAAAAATAGTTACTGTTACTGAGGAACGTATCAAATGCATTCCAATTTGACATGAACTAGTAATAATCTTAAAAAATTATAGGACAAAATAGAAGAAAAAGATCCATGTAACCAACCCAACTAACTTGGGATTAAGGCGTAGTTATTCTTGTATAGAACAAACCTATCAAACCTTGTTCGTCATTAGTTACATTCATTAGGGATAACTATCGTTTCACAAACCCACCCCAGTTTTCCTCAAACGATATCCTATTGGTGTGGCCCAACACACATCAATCCCTACTTCTTCAAAGTCAAATGCTTTGACCCTTTAAGTTTTATTAAAAGCCCAAAGCATTTTTTAAAACTGTAGTTTTCATTTAATTTGTCCCTAAAGGACTAAATTTCATATTATAAATTTCAAGGGTCCAAAGTATTTGATTTTGATAAAGAGATCTAAGTACATTAAATCAAACATAAAAGCTCTTTCTTCTTTCCTTTCGTTAATTTTGACTAAAAAGATTAGGCATTTCAATAAGCTTGCTATTTTTGTTTGGATGTTTGAAAAATGGAAGCATGCCTAACCTAGAAGTATCCCCCAAAGCTTTTAGAAGCAAGAAAAGCTTTATGAAATCTCACCAGGCATCAATGAAAATAAGAGTACTATTCAGCTTGCCTTTTCAGTTAGAATTGACAGAAGATCTGCTCGAGCTTTTTCCAGGGCACTTGATAAATTCTCAGGTTTCCTACCACCTGCTTGAGCAAAATTGGGTCGGCCTCCACCTCCTCCACCGCACAACTTTGCTATAGGCCCTATAAATTTTCCTGCCTGAACACCCATACCAACAACTCCTGGAGTGAATGCAGCAACTAAACTCACCTTCCCTTCATCCGGACAGGATCCCAAAACCACAGCTGCCGGATCTTGTAGTGCATCAATCAGATATTCAGCTGCACTCTTAAGTGAATCAGCATCAACATTATCCATGGACTCAACTAGAACCCTGGGATAAAAATTTCACAATAATGTTAAAAAAAACTATTGCTTCGCAATTTACATCTTCAAAAAACGTAGTACAGTGTTAAGAATTTTCAAAAGTAGATAACTATAGAACATATTGCTGAGGTGGCAGCTTCCACTAACTGTTATCTTTACATCTATATTGCCAAGCCCGCAAAGCTCATGTGCGAACCATAATATTTAAATGATGCGAGTTATACTCCCTCTGCAATTAGGTTACTTGAACTCATCATGTGCAATTAAATTAATAAACATTTTAATATTCTATGCTTCATAACATTCTTTTTGCCTGCAAAACATTCAAGTCTGATGCTTCCGGGAAATAGATCTTGATACATCATGAAAATGCTGTCAGTGAGTTAAGCAAAACTCAAATTAGCGTTTCACATGTAGAGCAGATGTGGTAATATGAAAAATTGTTAGCTAAAGAGCAGAGATGTGAAGAGTTTAGACATATCCAACAATGATGCCAATGTAGTACAGTTGCAATGAATTATGAAGTAATTATTACCTAATTTTTTTTGAAGGTCCCACTAAGAAAGCCTTGCTTGCAATAGCTGATGCTTTGTATACTGCTGCTTTTGCACGCAAAGCTGAAACTTCATTTCTTGCATTTCGTAGCTCCTCTAGGAGATTTTCTACCCTGGCGGTCACTTCTTCAGCTTTCACCTTCAAAAGTTAGCATTAACAGCACCTAAAAACCTTTTCAGCTTGGCAAAACAAACAAGTATTCTGCTAATTATGATGCTATCTCAAAAACAAAACAAAGTTGAGATTTCAAAGGTAGTAAATTTGATGATGTTACTTCTTTTGTGTTAAAGTCACGTACACACATGGCTTATAAGCGAGTAAGTATTAGAACCACTTGCAAAAAATCAATTGGCTTGTGCTAGGTCCACCACCTGTTCAAGTGCAACTAGATTGGTCTTAACTTGGCTCACCATCAACAGGCCGATTGACACTTGTTCATATGTTAAAGTCCAAATAGACACATATGAGCTTATAAGTGAGCGAACGTTGGAATTCACTGGTACAAAACCAATTGGCTTGTGCTAGGTCCACCACTCATTCAATTATAGGTCCTTTAGTTATTTTATTATTAATCAATGTATGATTCATTTCCCAATATTTTGGTATATGGCATCTCTTGGTTGAACTATCCAATCTTAGTTGCACAACAATCCCAAAGCTTGACTTAAATTTGATCTAATTCGAGAACGATCATAGCTCAGTGTGGTTTCCTTATTTAAGAGAAGGAACACCATGAAAAGAAATTTTAGAAAAATGGAAACCAAAATGTCAAGTTCTTTTCTTCCTAAGATTATGGAAAAGATCATCAAGTTGAGACTATTCGCTGGAGGGGAAAAAGCAGCTGTATCATGCCAAAGAAATGGAAATAGCATAACTGAGGTTAAGAGAACAACAGAAGCTGAATGATCTTGTGATTACATACAATCATGTGCACCAAGACACAACCCTTTATTCTACTTGCTGATTAATAGAGGTAAAACTGTTCTCCTTTAAACTGTTTTCAAATAAAACAGAATTTATTGCCCAGTAATTTCAGATTCAGCAAGAAAAGTGAAAAGGCATACCTTGAGAGTGGAGCACAAACGTTTCATCTGGGAATCTCTAGCGTTAATGTATTCTATGAAAGCTTCACCAGCCACAGCTTCTATACGCCTGACTCCTGATGCGATTCCCTGTTCTGAGATTATTTTGAAAGCCCGTATTTCAGAAGTGTTGCTGACATGGGTTCCACCACAAAGTTCCATTGACACACCTGGAACCTCCACAACTCTTACCTACAACACACCATATCATATCGAAATGCAAAAACTTGTCAATTTGTTTCCTATTGCACATTCAAAGTGACCATCCAAATTTCCTTGATTTTCATTTATTGCCTTTAGGAGTCTAGACTCAGATGTCATTAAAAACTTGTGGATTAACTTCTTGTTTCATTGAAAAGGGATTAAAATGTAGCTGAAAGACTGAAATGTAGCAAATCTAAAAAGTCAAGAAACATCTAATTTACTCTTAAGAGAAGCAAGGAGCCAAGTGTTCACCAAATGTCAGAGTTTCGTGATTGACCCTCATATTTTAACCACTTCACAATTTTGTTATAGGAAAAGATCAGTAGACTTGGATGGAGTGTCCTACTAAAGCTCTAATCAGTTCATTATTCGATGTCAAAGAAACTAGTACCTGCTCTCCATATTTTTCCCCAAACATGGCAATAGCTCCAGCTTTTTTGGCATCAGTAAGGGGCATCACCTTGGTTTGAAGAAGTGTTGAGTCCCCAATCCATGAATTTATTAATCCTTCAATTTCTTCCAGTTCAGTGTCCTGAAGTGGTCTATGAAAATTGAAATCAAACCTGAGACGATCAAAATCCACTAGTGAACCAGCTTGTGATGTTTCCTGGCCAATAACTTTCTTGAGTGCAGATTGTAATAAATGAGTAGCAGTATGATGAACCTGAAAACATCAAAATGTCTTTAAATAACAAGATAGGTAGACCAAATGAATGAAAAGAACATCTTTGTATTTGATACATGGTTAAATTTTCTAAGTAAATTAGTTCAAGTTGAAGGTAATAAATCATCCATAAATTCTTGTTCTGATCTCAATTCAGTAGCAAAGCAAGAAATTTTTATGCTCTAAAATGTTTTAGGTAAAGGAAAAGAAATTCACAATAGATTCAAGCATGCACCTTAGCCCGCTGTCTCAATTTTGGATCTACTGAAGCTTCTACTTCTCCACCAACCTCTAAAACTCCCTGTCTGATAGTGCCTTTGTGCACAAATACATTCCCTAGAGATTTTTGAACATCTTTTATTTCTACAACAGTTCTAGGTTTGTTTCCACCTTCATTAACATATATAAAACCATGATCACCAATTTGTCCACCAGATTCAGCATAAAATGGTGTTTTGTCCAGCAAAACTTCTACTTCACTTCCTTCAGCAACCTGTATCACTGGCTTCCCATTTACCAAAAGACTTTCAATGACTGCTCTTGAGGAAAGGGTGTCATACCCTAGAAATTCAGTATCAGAGACAGTTTCAGAAAGATCTCCATCTTCCACTGAAAGCTTAATGACATTGTGTGCAGCCTGAGATTGGCGCCTTTGTTTTTCCATCTCAATATCAAAACCATCTGTATCTATTTTGACACCATGTTCTTCAGCAACTTCTTCTGTTATCTCAACAGGAAATCCATATGTGTCATACAAAAGAAACACATCCTTGCCAGATAAGCAAGGCACAGTTCCATTTTTTTGACCAATTAATAATGCATCTGCTAGCATTTGGTCAAGTAGCTTTTCTCCTCTCTCCAGTGTCTGCACAAAGCGAAGTTCTTCCCTTTGCAACTCCTCAAGAATACGGGATGTGTTAGTCTTCACATCTGAATCAATATAAGTGCTCAATTCAATTACTTTCTCTGCAATAGCTGGTAAACATGCTCCTTCTAGATTATCTTTACCATCCCCCTTTATCCCAAGCAACCTTCCAGTACGAACAGCCCTTCTAATAAGCCTGCGGACCACGTAGCCTCTACCAATGTTTGATGGAAGCACTCCATCCGATATGAGATATACAATTGCACGCAAATGATCTCCTATAATCTAAGAAGGACAAGACTTTAGGTTCATAAAAGTTAAAGTGGAAGAAAAATTTTGTTGAAGCAAAATTTTCAAGCAAATGGCAGCAATTCAAATGCCGACATACTTTGAGGTTCATTTTCGTGTGATCATCAGCTAGAGCATATGATATATTTGCCAGTTCTGAGGCCTTTTCAATAATGGGATAAATCAAGTCAGTCTCGTAATTGTTTGGAACCTGCAGGAGAAATATGACACACAGAAGTATAATTTTGAAGCAGATGGACTAGGCAAATTAATAGGTTCTCCCTTGGAATCTCAGTACTTTTCATGAAAAAAGTATTACCCGTTCACTCATTTAAATTTTAATTAGGAAGGTATATACCTTTTGAAGGATGCGAGCCATACGCTCCAGACCAAGACCAGTATCTATATTCTTTTGTTTTAAAGGTTCAAGTGATCCATCATCCATTTTATTGTACTGCATGAAAACTAGATTATAGAATTCTATAAACCTAGTATCATCCCCAAGATCCTGCAAAAGAACAAGAAAGTACATAAAAATAGAATATAAATGTGAGACATTCTATAAGCTCAAACTTTATATAATAACCACCACACCTCAGAAAACAAGGGGCAGTTATACACTCAAACTTAAAGAACACATACCACATCCAAATATCCCCTTTCTGGATGGAAATCATAATAGAGCTCAGAGCATGGACCACAAGGACCTGTAACTCCACTGGTCCAAAAATTGTCTTCTTCACCCATCCTCTTAATACGCTCAGTTGGAACACCCACCTGAAGCATAGTTGTATTACTAAACATTTAGAGAAAGCAGTATACTATAATTAATATGGTCATAGAAGAAAGAAGCAAGTTCCAAATTCTGACTATAGACTAGAATTAAAGCATAGAGCAGAACACTGCGGAAATATGGATGATTTTAATACTATAAACTGAAGAAGAGAAAGACTAGCATAGTGACAATTAGGACAAGAATCATGGATCCTAACAAGAACTAAAAATAAAAAGAAGAAAGACATAAACAGATGCAAACAGACTATATTCTGAGCCTGGATGTGGGAAAAAAAATTGGTGTCTAGTGAGAATGGAAGTTCAAGCAACACACAGGGGTTAACTACACTGGGAGCAAACAAAAGAATGAAATCAATCAGTAATAGTTCGTGCACTCATGTCTAGCTAACCTCGTCATGCCAAATTTCAAAAGCTTCATCATCATCTTCATATACACTGATCCATAATCTGTCAGCCGATAGTCCAAATCTGCAGGGACAATATTTGAAGTAATAAATTCTCTTATTTTGAAAGAGAGAAGGAACGCATGACTAATAGCATATAGCACATGTCTACATACTCCTTGGTTGAAAGCTCCCATGCCCATTTAATTGCTTCTTTCTTGAAGTAATCTCCAAAACTGAAATTCCCAAGCATCTCAAAAAATGTATGATGTCGGGCTGTTCGGCCAACATTCTCCACATCATTTGTTCGGATGCACCTTTGAGCAGTTGCAGCTCGAGGTACTTGTCTAGGAGCCTAAATAGAAGTTTTAAAACTATAAATGGATTCAAAATCCTTATACATGAGAGTAGAAAGAAAATATTTAGAAATTTGCTAAATGTAAGATGCACATTGTAAGTAGAAAAATGAAAAAACAGAATAGGAAAAGAGATGCAGTATATAATGAACTCGACAATCCAATAACCACCTGGATGGCTTAAAGTCATCCCTTGTCAAGCACTAATCGAAGGAAAAATGGGTAAGGCCATGCAAATGGCCCCAGTTTGATTAAAAATAATGAATCCTCTTCTCACAATTAATTGGGATGAATCCATAAATTTAGCTAACAGGTCATATCTGATTGTGAGAGGAGGCTGCGCCACTTTTCTATGCATCAGTACTCTGGATAATTACCTGAAAATGGGAGAGAACTGAGAGATACTAAGGGCATTTTACTTGCAGAAAATTAAGTTATTTTGATAGTTTAACTTAAGCTTTGAGGCCATGAAAACATTAAAAGGAAAAAAAATAAAAATAAAAAAAAAACAAAATAAAAAATGAACTGAAAACTTAAGTTCAATAAAACTGATAAGCCAGAGCACATGGAATACTTTTCATTTTCTCATCCATAAATATGTAGAATTGTATTGACAATTCAATTCATGGCGTCCAAATATTTTATATCATTAGAAACCATGTCTATGAGGAAATTAATTAGTAAATCTACAAGTTCCAAAGTCAGATATAAACTAATATTAATATGTTAAGTAAGATGAGGTTTTGGTGGAAAGTTGCTTAAAGCATTAAACCACAAGGATATGCCTTTTGAGATTTTGACAATAGTAGAGGAGATTTAATCCAAAAGATCTGATCTTGTAAATTGCAGCAATAGATAAATAGTAAGACAGTAGATCAAGCAGCAGATTGGCTGTCCAGACGTGAATCTGGTTTTTTTCCCATTTTGTTTTGTAATGCTCCAAACAGTTGGAGCTGTTATTTTGAAGGATGTATCTGACTTTATACATTAATGAATGATGAGTTTAATTTCATTTGAGGTAGCAAAATAATAAAAATTGTAAGAGAAGTAATTTGTGTGTCTTACATTATGAACAAGACCAGCCTTTTTATATGTACAAGAGTGTTCCTAATTCAGGAAATAAGACTAACAAATAACTATAAATCTTCTAGCTTCTATATACAAATATATGACTAATCTCCTAGATTCTTGCGTTCTCCAAATCTTTAAGAACCACAAACTCAGGAAATTTATGTAAATGAATTATCAATTAGCATATTTGAAAAAAGAGCTGTTCCTGATAGGAGGTATATTAGATTTTATGATCTTTCTACTTTATGAAATCATTTATTGTAGAAAATTCTAATTCAGAATTACCATTCCAAACAAGTGGATTTTGTTAATATTCCCTCTACACTTTAGTGACTTCTGATTTCAGTAAAAACATCAACAAAATATTATGGCAAATTCCTAAAATGCTTGTTGTTTACCTTTCCAAGGAATATAGGCTTGAATTGGAGCATTCCTGCAATTGTCAAAAGAACAGTGGGATCATCTGGCACAAGAGAAGAACTTGGAAGAACCTTATGGCCCCGAGAAGCATAGAATTCGAGAAACCGACGGCGTATGGAATCCCCACTCACAGGGTTTTCGTCAGTCTTTTTCTCCACCAATTCCTCAGTCACAGGCTGTACTGGCGCTGAATTAGAAAATTGATAAATACCACTGCCTTTAAAGAAAGGTTCTTAAGAACAACCTAGAAGTTCTTATGTCAAATTTCAAACAGTTAACTCCAACAACCTGGTGTACTTCTTGTACTAAACTGCATACCCCTTGCTCCTCTAATACAACTGTGTCCACCAGGAAAAATATTGGGATAAAGGGCTATTCTTCTTCGAGTACAACCTGCATAATTCTTCCACAGCAATATCTTAGAAAATATTGAACAGCCTTGAGAAGACAGCTCTACCTCTTCTGCTATATAATGTAACAGCACAAATTGCCAATTGAAGTATGAAATTGACAATTAGAATAAAATTTTTATGGATCAAAACTAAAGTGCAAAGCTTCCATAATATTCAAAAAAACTATAACTTCCAATTTCTTCTCCTAAAGAGAGATTTTAGTGATAATAAAATAACCAAAGGATAAGAAATTGGAAAGGAAGAACCTTACCAGTGGAGAGGGCAGAGCTGCATGGATGAAAAGGTGAGGTTGGTTTGAGAAATAACGTTGAAGAAGGGAGAAAGGTGGCGAGAGGGTTCCCGCCATGGATGCTGTGTAGAGTTTGCGGTGGCAGTTGCAGGCCGCCCATTCTCTCAATCCTTTGCAAGTAACTGAATGCTATCTCTCTCTTTTCAAATGGGCGTCTTTTATACGTTGTCGTTTGGACTGAAGAAAATGGAAAGATAAGCCTTCTTTAGGTACCACATGTTTGCCTACCACATTCCTTTATTTATTTATTTACTTTGAAGTATCAAGAAATTAAGCAAATAAAACAAAGAATTAGAAATTAAGTATTCTAAAAATATAGTTTTTTTTTTTTTTGAAAACAAATAATATACATATAGAAATCAAGATATTTTACGAAAATTTCATTCCCTCCCAATCATTTAGTTTCATTCATAAAAGTCAAATTATATGCATAAATAATATGTATAATATTTATAAAGTGGTTTTAAGATTAATTTGATTTGATATTATATTCTATAAAAAATAATTTGTAATTTTACAAAATACCACCTTGTTTTTTAATGTAAAAAAATACTACCAATATTTTTACTAGACACTACATCACACTGTGCACTGACGAAGGGAGGAGTCTAGGGATGGCCAACGCCCCACTAATTTTTTTTTTTTTTTAAATTACCTTATAATATATTAAACTTTTTTTATTATACCCTTTAAAATAGTTTTTTTTTTTTTTTTTTCCAATTTGTCCCCTTTAACTTTTGAATATTTTTTAGCCCCTTAACTTCAATTCCTTACTCCATCACTAACTCTGTTAACCTATCCTAACAACCTCCAAGTTTGAGTTGAGCCCTTCCCTCGCTCCCCTCTCTTTTGTAAAATGAAAATTTAAGTAAATTTTGCAATATAATTTTCTTTTTGAGTATTAGTTTGTAGCTGTTTAATTTTAGGAAAATATTGCAAATATCCAATTTTTATTACTTTAGAGTAATAATTTTAGTTAATGTTGAATTGACTCATCGTGATGAAGTTTCTCTTTATTGACAAAAATAATGCTATTTAAAAACTGTAAATCAACTTAATGTTAAATTAAAACTATTTACAAATCTAATGTTTCACTATCAAAATCATAATATCCATTGGTGGTTCAAGTGCAATATAAAAAGCTACTTATATTGAACAATAATCAGCTAAAAGTAACCTAAATTTGAACTTCAATTTTTGAGGTAGATCATTCTTAGAATTCATTTATGTCATGTTCCTAGAAAGGATATATATATTGGCACTTTTCAAAAAATGGTTGATATTCTATCAAAATAGCCTAAATTATTTGGTTGCTTCATCTTTCTCTACAGTGTGTAAACAATGTGATTTATGGAATACGGCTATGTCACTTAAAGTGAAGAATTTTTTAATTATGTTTTGCTTACAATATTTTATCTTGTATGGAACGTCTTTTGCAAAAGGAATGTGATATTTTGAAGAATGACCAAAAATATAGAAATTCTTGAGAATATCTAGTATGTTTTGATATATTGCCCTTATGCACAACCTTTCTAGGATTTGATGTGTCCATATTAATGAAATGCTCAAGAATTCAGTGGATTTTTTTTTTATCTCATTCATTATTTCTCTGCCTGACTCTTCTACATTATGTTTGACAGATTTGGAATGCTCAAAATGTTTTGTTATGATAGAGTATCTTTTATGATCCAAAACTAAGTGTAAACTTTTTCGTAAACCTGTTATAGGAACAGAGAAATGCTATTGTTTGTGGCTCAATTCCATGCTACTATTGACCATGACACATTTTTTTTTCTACAACTTCACCTAAAAACAAAGTAAATTCGAGAATTTTTTAACTTTTAGAAAAGAGATATAGCTTATTGACCCAGTCTGGATAGAGCTTCCTATAGATCAGCTGCACCAAACTTAACTAAGGAAGTAGCTAAATCATTTGAGTCATAATCGAACAGGGTGGTCCAACAGAATTAGAAGTTCTTAATTAGCCAACTCCAAAGGATTCATGTTATCTATTACATAATATATAAAGACATTACATTATTGAAGAGGATCAACCGCTCCTAACTTGTAACCAGTTGAAGGTTTAGAAATGGAGCTATTAATGCTTGAGCAGTTTATTATGCAGCCACTAGGTCCAGTCGGTGCATAATACAAACCCCCCTTGTGTTGAATATGGGCAGTTACTGATTATTTGATCGGGTGTAGTGTATGCGAGGTAAAACTTTATATATCGTTTGGGATTAGCCTTGAGGGAAATTCTTCATTTTTTTAATGAATTCTGATAACTTAGTGAGATTGTGTCTTATCTCTTATTAACTCTAAGTGCTACTCATTATAAACGGTCTCATGACTGTAGCTATTTGATTCATCATGTCTAAGAACATGGAGTGATTTTCCTTAGTCATTTGATCCTGAATATGCTTGACATTAGAGTTCGTCAAGACAGGGGTTAGAAATGGTAACATCGTCCAATTATATTCTATGCCCTGCTCCAGATTTTAGATGATGCACATGAATGTGTTGTAGTTAATCGCTCCTTATCTACTAGCACCAAAGGGGTAGGTTGTAATGGGTTGTTGGATCATCATAATTCTAATGTTCTAGAGAATCTTTAGAATTCTTAGTCGTTTTTTTACAATTAGCTTTCAATTTGGGCATAACTAATCCATAATGATCTTCATTGGCTACCAAGATCTAGCCAAGTGTACCAAATGGTCGTTTGTCCCAAATTGAGCGAGTCGATAAGAGTGCGGTAGCATCCAAGCATCCAAATTCAAATGGACATATCGATATAAATTATCAATCTAAATGGAACTGTGTGGATTAAGAACCATCAATTCAAATGAGAAGACATATAGGCGATCTTCCATCAATCCGATAAAACTTAAGAATTTACCAATAATATTCTCTATAGGGAATTTTGATTTTTGTTATAGTGGTTTCCATCTACTATTTAGTCCTTTTGTTCACTTTTGAAACTTTTTGCTGTTAATTTATAAGAAATATGAAAATACCCCTTTACTAAAACCAAAAAGGTAAGGAATAAGTAGAACGAATTCTCGTCTTTTTATAAGGGATATTGGAAAAGTACAAAAAAGTGCACAAAAGGACTAAAAATTGACAAAATCAAACATTTAGGATAAAGTAGTATATTCTACAAAAACAAGGATGGAGTAGTTGATTTTGGTATAATTCATAAACATCATAACAATTTCTCTAAATTCAAACATAATTTCTATTTTTCCAATTAGTTATTAAAAATCTTAATTATTTATATAATTTAAATAAATGGAAGCACATAATAATGAGTTTATAATATTTACCTTTGATTTAAAGCAAAAGTCTCCAAAAAAAATTAAGAAAATCTATAAGAATACAAAAAAGGACAAAGTTGAGCTGCTGCATGGTACCTACAAATGACATTGATGTCCAACAAACAACACAACTTCTCCTATAGAATGACAACAAAGTTTTCATGCAACTACTAAACGATGTTAGCGCAAACAAAACCCTCGGGCCTATGACATAGCTTACTCCAGCAGCCCTAAAATTGAGATCCTCTCTCACTTTTTGATACTTTATCCTTAAAAATGATAGCTAACCATCCAAATTCATCCTTTCATATTTATATGGTCCTAAAAAGTTAGAAATATTTGAAAAGATGAAATTAACCCTTCACACCTTAGTTTCTTTAACTTTAACTACCCTTTACCACCAAAGTTTTATCTATTAACCTCAAACCACTCCATTTTCAAGGAAAGACCCATTTGGTTTAGCAGTTTATACCAACTAATAGTTGATAACAGTTGTTGATAACTGATAGCTAGGGGCAAATAACGATTAGTTGATGAATATTGGTGTTTAGTAAAATTTTGATAGCAGTTGCTATTAAAACATAAAATGACTATTAAGAGTACTAGTTTTTAATCACGTGCGTTGCACATTGTTGCTGCTCGTTGCCTACACTCATTAATTCTTTATAATATAACGATTTCTTTGTAATATAATGATAGCCTAAAATTTTATTTTAAATTTTAGGCTATCATTATAATTCAATATTATTTTAAATAAATATTAATATAATAGTTAATTTTTATTAGCTTATATAAGAATTACTATTATAAAATAATATAAAACTAGGGAGACAAATACAGGGAGAATAGAGAGAATAGGGAGTAATACGAGAGTGTCTTTATTATTGATGAGAAGCCACAAATATATAGTTACATAAGTGGAACTTTAATAGAGTTCTACATAAATTAGTAAGATAGAGTTCGCAATAATTAAGAATACGGACTTCTACCCTATATAGAACATCCACTTATTTCATAACATCCCCTTTTGGATGTCCATTCTTCAAAGAATATGCCTTACATAGAGTTCTAACATAAATTAGTAAGATAGAGTTTTCGCCAATAATTTAAGAATACGGACTTCTACGCCAATAATAGAACCAATCCAGTTCGCAATAATTAAGAATACGGACTTCTACCCTATATAGAACATCCACTTATTTCATAACATCCCCTTTTGGATGTCCATTCTTCAAAGAATATGCCTCGTTAAAACTTTAATAAGAAAAAACCCTGTGGGGAAAAAAATCTTAATGAAGGAAACTGAGTATATTATTCTTTTCTTAAATACGCATTGAAATACTGCCTCATTAAGAACCTTCACTAAGAAAATCCAGTGGGAAAAAAAATCTTGGTTAAAAGGAAAAAGAGTACAGTGCATATTTACTCCCCCTTATGTTAGTTATAATATAACTCATATATATCAGATGCCATGGAGATATTAAAATACATATTTAACTCTATTCAATTTCTTCATTTTTAAGAAGAATTATATCTTACAAATAAAATTTATAAAAATGCTTATATCTAGTCATATGCTAGCAAGATTCATTAGCGTCTTTATTACACTAAGATATGATACTTCAGGACCAATAAGTTCCTGATAATTTTTTCAAAGTTGAAAATGGTCATTTTATCAAGTGACCTCAAAGCCATTGGGATTCACATAAAATCATTTTAATAACTTAATCATATATGTGAATTCATAGACAAAATTTCATTTATGAAATGCTCGATCTTGAGGCCGAGACAAAATTTTATATTCTCAATGTTT